ATGGATTAATCATTCTAAGACACGATGTGCTAGCAGTGCTCATAAAAATGTTTTTGAATTTCTTTCCAGCTCATCTGAGGACGCTGCTTCTCCCTCATTTCTTACACCAAGTTCTGTTATTAGATTTTATTGGGCCCTGCTGATGTGACCAAAGCTCCAAAGTCTGGCCCTGGGAGTCAATTGACAGATGTGTTAATTCTCGGAGACTGATTCCTTTAGGATCTGCAATGTCTAAGTACATTTTTTTAGGATGATGTGTGTAAATCTTTGTGCTTGGGGAAGTGAGGGATCAATAGAAATGAAAGGAGTGGAATACAGTGCAGGCTGATAGAGCACAGTTACCACACGGGTAGAACTCTGCAATTTCTCCTTTCCAATACCAGTGGCAGCACCCCTGCCATTCCAGTCTTAGGTCTTCACACAGCCAATGTGCTTCACTCTTGCTACATAGGATCCCTGCTTTTCCTGCTATGGGCACCCACGTGGCTCTATCAATGCATCTTCCAGCTAACCTGCAGGACCCACACCCATTCCAGGCCTTGGTGCTCTCACAGCTCAGCCAATTCATCACACAGTAACGCATGGTAGGATTAAATCCATGTCTCCAGCCCTGTTCCCCACTGCCCACATAAAGGAAAGAGATGCTTGTGTACTTTGAGAGATCCAGTATGTTCTTCTTCAGTGCTGAGTTCTGTAGGTTGTGTCATTAGCGGTGTGGAGGGGTCTTTTTGCCCTGGGAATTGTCAGCAGCAAGGAGGGATGTGAGAGTAGTATGTGGGCTTAATGATGGGTAAGTGAATGCATAGTACTAGAGGGGTTCCTGTGTGTAAGTATTAAGGGGTTGCAAAAGAGGGGGTGGGGACTGTAAACTTTAGCACATGCAGTGTTGTTTTTGTGGAACAGGCTAAGTGTTTGTACGTAGGGTCGGTGTAGGTAGCTCCTATTCAGTGCAGCTCACCTAGACACAAGTTTTGCCTTAGCAAAGAGATGGCCTCAGACTGTCATTCAGTGGTCACATGCTCTATGCCCTGAATGTTCTGTGCTATTTGCAAAGGCAGATTTTGAGTATGTGTGTCATTGACATATTAGGCTGTCTCTGAAGAGGGCAGTTAAGCTTGCATTGGTGTGTACTTAACTCTGTCTTCTCTGGTTTCCAGTGGTTTGAGTTTTGCTGAACTTGATCTTTTGGAGGACTTGAGATACCACCAGGCAGCCTTAACTCTTCAGTAGCTAAGTTTTTTGTCAGTGAATGTCCTAAGTTTTCGAAAAATGTTTTTTTGTGGACGTCTGTACTAAGAAGCAGCCATCCTTGATTTTTTAATAAAATAAAATAATATAAAAATAAAATGGACCGTTTTATTATGTCATCCTCTGACATGTCATATTATGCACTCCTACTACTACTGACATGTCATGAAATAAAAATAATATCACAATGCCCATAAAATCAAATACATTTCATTTTGAAACAAAATTTCAGTTTTCTTCAAAATGAAATTTTCCAAAATGATATCTGTTTTGTTTCAGGAAAATTTGTTTTCATGAGAAATTTCACCAAAATCGAGATAATTTCACCAAAATTGTTCATCTGTTGAGATGGCATTTTCTGATGGAAAGCTGTTTTGACTAAAAATTTTCAACCCACTTCTAATATACAGACCATTAACAACATAAGGAAATGTTTCCTAAACATTTAAATTGGGGGAAAGGTTTGTAGTTCCCCTAGGATCTCTCCCCATTTTACTGTTCTTCCCCATGTATCATACTGGCTCACAATGTATGTATCATTTCCGCCCTCTGCTGGATGGCACATCAGAACTGATCAGGCATTGAACCATGGGGAAGGACCTCTAGGTGAAGGAAGCCCACAAAGGAGAAGAACCCTAATATGTTAGTAACTAATAGATATTTCCCTTTAGTATCAGTGGCAGGGGACTCGGGTTTGGATGCAGAAAGTCCAGAATTGTTTCTTGCTAACTAGTATGGGATTAAATTCATTGATATAATCCCAATTAAGCTACAATTCACAATTTGCAGCCTCATATTGTACTTCAGCAGAGTTTACACACCAGAAAGTGAATCAGACCCAATGTTACAAAAGTTACATTAAATAAAGAGGACTGTGAATCAATGCAGTGAAAATATAAATAGTGCATTAATGTTTCAGTATTTGAGATGAAGCAAGTCTGGCTAAATAAATACCAGGAGGCACGTCAAGTATTTGAACTGAAATTTGCAAACTTCAGCATTTGAAGTTTTTGATTACATTGCACATTTGCAAAAAAATGTTCCCATTTTGAAGTGAAATCTGAGAAAGTTTGTAGTTTTGCACCCCCAGGAATTGGCCCAGTTTTTTAGTGAGAACCTCCAGACATTCAAGGAAGCAAAATTTTGCATTTTGTGCTGACAAAGATTAATTTTTGCAGTTAAACATAAGAGAACAAGAATGCTTGCATGTTTTGATGCAAAACTTGGGCATATAAAGAAAATGTCACAGGGAGTAACATTTCTGGGTTGCAAAATAGCCCAGGATGCATTTTCACAAATTGACAAAGTGCCTGTTGTGCTTGCTTAATAAATAGTAACAATAATATCTGTTATTGCTATCAGTCATCGAGATAATACACACACTCCTCTCCCCTTGAACAATTCTAAATTAATTAAAAAGCAGAATCTCCTGCAGATCAAACTCATCTAAGTGGAATGCCAGGAACTTGTATAAATACCCGGGATCAAAAGAGCACACACACAAGGCAATACATTAGCAGTGGGTACATCTTGAAATGTATGAGTTTCAGTTAGCAAGCAGAACCCTGAAGTCTAGACACTTCTCTAAACATACCCAAAGGAAACCCCAGATCTGGCTGGCAATCTTGTGACAGCTTTTTTTATCCTTTGCACTTATGGTTGGAGCCTGGACAGTCAGAATCCATATAAAACCTAATGAGGGAGAGGGGACATGTTAACCAAAGGTTTTCTTTCATATCAAGAAAAGTCTGGTTTGCATTCTGGCAAGTGTAGGGTGGTGAGGATCTTTCCATCCTTTATATTGATCAAAGAGTTTATATTGAAAACACGTACACACACATACACACACACACACACACAGTGGCACTGGTAGCACCGCATATTATTTAAATTGTCTGACCCTTTTCATTATAAGAACCTGTTTTCAGTAGTTTATAACTTTGACAGATTTAACTGTTTGGGATGAAATTTTCCATTCAGTCTGTCTGCTTCATTCTGAATTATTCTGGAAAATTTTAGCCAAAGTGTTGAGCTGTTTCCGAGAATGAGGTTAGGGGAAAATATGTGGTTTTGCCCATGCTAAAAATTTCTGGTGTCCTTTTCTTTAAGTTCTAGTGCCCCCATGCTTTGGAGAAAGGATTTGAAATTCAGCAGGATAATGGCCTTTGCATCAGGGATGTGCCAAAGCCACCCACATGAAAAAGTGCCCAAATTTGGCCAAATTATAAGACTTTGAAAAATCACAGTTTGCACATGCTCAGTAGAAACTTGCTAGACCTGATGAGGTCCATCTTGTGGACTAAATGAGGGAGGGATCCTGGAGTGTGGGGGGAATGTGCTCATGTAATTAAAGACTATCATCATGCATGTGCACAAGGGGGGCAAATTAAAGTTGCAAAGGCAACTTTAATTCTGGCATTTCCTAACGTTTGAGTGCTTGATTTTGCAACCTTAATGTTTTCTCAACATTGTTGTTGTGTGTGTAATATATGAAGAAGAGTTTGACCATTTAAAGAACCAACCAGTCCTCATAGTGATTCCATCAGTTTGATCTAGATGCTCAGGGTTCACTTGTTCCACTGAATTCTTGAGGCTTACCACCAGGGCCGGCTCTAGAATTTTTGCCGCCCCAAGCAAAAAAAATTTTGGCCGCCTCCCCTTTCTTTCTCGTGCCACTCTGCCCCCGGCCCCGCCCCAACTCCACCCCTTCCGAACCCCTTCCCCAAATCCCCAGAACTGCCTCCTCCCCCGGCGTGCCGCACTTCTCCCCCCCATTACTTCCTGCGGGCCCCCCGTGACCTCCCGCCCTAGCTCACTTCCGCTCCGCTTGCTCCCCTGGGCGTGCCGCCACTCCGCTTCTCCCCCCTCCCTCTCAGGCGAGGGAGGGCGGAGAAGCGGAGCAGCGGCGCGTTTAGGGGAGCAGGCGGAGCAGAGGTGAGCTAGGGTGGGGAGGGCGCAGGAAGTAACGGGGGGGTAGAGGAACCGCTCCCCGCTCCAGCTCACCTCTGCTCCACCACTGCCGCCTCCCCCGAGCGCCCGCCGTTCGGCTTCTCCTCCCTCCCTCCCTCCCAGCCTTGCTGCGCGAAATAGCGGTTTCGCATGTGGCAAGCCTGGGAGGGAGGGGGGAGAAGCGGAGCGGCGGCGTGTTCAAGGGAGCAGGCGGAGCGGAGGTGAGCTAGGATGGGTGGGGTGCAGGAAGTAACAGGGGGTAGAGGATCCACTCCCCACTCCAGCTCACCTCCGCCGGCTTCTCCTCCCTCCCAGCCTTGCACAGCAAGCCTGGGAGGGAGGGGGGAGAAGCAGAGTGGCGACGGCGCGCTCAGGGGAGCAGGCGGAGGCGAGCTGGGGCGGCAGGGGCACTTTTTCCCCATGCCCCGGAGTTGGCGCCTATGGTGGCCAGCGCCAGAATTCCGCACCTAGAAATGTGCTGCCCCAAGCACCTGCTTGTTTTGCTGGTGCCTGGAGCCGGCCCTGCTTACCACATTCTATGCCCCAGCTGTTAGATGTACTGGATAAGTGGTCAGGCGAGAGAGCCTAGATCTTTAGAGAGGGTCCTCTGATTCCATTCTCCCTGTCTCTTTTGCCATCCTTACATTTCAGTTCATTGTCAGCACTAGCTAATGCTGAGTGTATCTCTGTGTATGTGTGTCTCCAATTTCATTAGGACAGAGACAGACAAGTGTCCACTTAGGGCCTTCTGGAACTGATCAGCGGGTCAGCTGGGAACGTCTGTCAGGCAGCCAGGGTTATAGCTCTCCCTCGCTTCTCCCCGGGCTCCTGAGGTTCGTGGCTCTCCTCCTTTCTCTTGTTGTCATTGCCACCCTCCCGACTCCCCCTGCCACACACCGAACACCCAAACCTTTTCTGAGCCCTTTGCTTAATCCCTGGGATTCTTTATCTAGGAATTAATCTCCCCGTCACAGTGTGTGTCTGGAGGTGGGTGGGGGCTACATTTATCTCTCCCGCTGAGGTCTAGAGTTGCATTGCTGTGATTATTAATGGTAGCAGCGTGCCTGTCTCTGGGATCTGTGTTTAGCGTCTTCGTTTCTTAAACAGGACGGGGGCCACGGCAAGCAATTTGGCAGCTCTGGGTTCCAGCTGCATTGTGTCTGCCGCTGAGAGGCAGAGAGTGTGAGTGGGGATCAGCATGGCAGAACAAGAAGCCAGTGGCTTGCAGCTCCTTCTCTCCAGCCTCCAGGTAAGAGGAGCTTGAGCTAAGGGGACAGACACTTGGGCTGGTTTCCTTTGTAATCGACAAGCAATGACTTGCTGGGCTGAGGTTGCTGATGAGCTCCCTGCTGGCTTGTCTCAAAGGCATCAGAGAACAGGAGTCCTGCACTGCATCTCCCTCCCCGCCTCCTGAAAGCTTTTACAAAATGAAGTTTCACTATTCAGAGATTAACTCTGGTGATTAATCACTGAGCCCAGTTTGAGTGCAGCGTCTCAGACCCTGGATCTGCCAGCGGTGCAGCAGGGATAGAAAGAGCCTGGTTTGCAATGAATGGGACCTGTCAGTGCTGTCAGCTTATGAGTCAGGCTGGGAAGGCAACAGCAGATCTTTCTGAGATGGGCAAGTCCAGACTGTGCTCTTCCATACTTAAGGAAGTGGCTGTGCAAATTCCTAAGGACAGGACAGCAGAGGCTCTTCAGACAGGCTTTGGTGTCATCTGCATGTACCTAATAGAAGAGAGCTCAAAAGAGCAGAGGGAGGGAGTTTTTGTGAGATCCTCACCCAGGATCATCAGTAGCTGCGTGTGTCCCACACAAACAGCTCCCTGCAACTGTAGGGAGCCTCAGACCTTGGAGCGTCTTTTTCTAGCATTTGTGGTCAGGCTCCAAGGTTCAGTTCCCAAATGCAGAGGAAGAGGCGCACACACATCTTCAACCTCACAGCCCCGTGCTCTCATATTTGTGTGATGTTGTGCCATTTGCATGATAAAATCTCCCACCCAGGTGGACAGAGTGCTCCATGGCCATTCCTGTTGCATGCTCTGGCCAGGGGAGCCTCTGTTTTTCACAAACACAGTATAGGTGCAGTGATTGAACCTAAAACATCCACATTTTGGCATTAGGGGCAGGTGGGAGTTTGTGCTTCATTTAGACAAAATTCTGCCAAAAAATTGTTTTTCAGAGTTTTTAAAATTCCAAGGCACCCAAATCTTTTTGTGATTCCCTGACTTCCAAAGTATATCGCTGAGTAGAAGCAAGTCACAGCCTAACCAGAGACATAAGCATGCATGAGATGCAGGTAAACAGTCTGTTTCACTCACACCCCAGCACCTTTGATGGCAATAGCAACCTGTGAAGTAGACTGCCATTGTTAATTGTATGTGTCAGAAACCCGCACCAAGACAAGTCCCAGAACTAGAATAGCAGGGGTGCTGTATTCAAAACATGGGGATTTCCTTACGGGATCAGATCAATGGTTTATCTATTCCAGCAGCATTTCTCTGACAGTGAGCAGAGTCACATCTTTAGAGGAGGGTATAAAACCCTACCCTCTAATGGTTGCCATTTACACTGCAGGGTTGGGGGGTTGACATTTGTTATCCAAGATGATATAACTATGAATATTTTGCTTAAACACATCTATGTCTCATCTTGCTATCTTGTGGCAAAGAGTTCCACAGGTTAATCATGTATTGTATTTAAAAAATCTTGTCTCATTTGTCTGCCTTTTAATTCCATTAGATGTCCCATCATTCTTTTATTATGAAGAAGTGTAAATAGAAGCACCCCATTGACTTTCCGTATCGCATTCACTCTTTTGTGTGCTGCTTTTATGTCCCTTCTGATTGGTATTCTCTCTAAAGGACACTGTCCTAACGTTCTCAATGTCTTCTCAGGATTGAAGGGTGTAAGTGAAGTGAGTGAGAGTCCAGGATTAAAAACAAAGGTATTGCTAGAGGTCAGCATTGAAGTTCTCCGGCAGAGCTGGGTGTGGGCTCAGGACTGGCATAGTAGAGGATGCTGTGGATCAGGACTAAAGAGAATGGCAGAGCTGTGTGAATGGAAAAGTAGCCCAGCACCTGCCCACAATAACCCAAACTCAAACAGTGCTTTTGGTTCTTAGCTCCAAGAGTACTAAACTCACGTACAAAAACAAAGTACTGTTACCGTCACTCATCATTTTGGCATTAGGGGTGGGTGGAGGGAAATAATGGCTGGGGGCAGCCATTTTAGACTTGATTCTGACTCACAACGAAAAAATGGTTGCAACTGCAAAGGTGGAAGGCAACTGGGGTGAAAACAATCCTTAAACGATAGACTTCATGATTCTAAATAAGAGCAGCAGAATAAGGACAATGGACTTCAACAAACAGGCTTTAACAAACTCAGAGAACTGGTAGGTAAAGCCCCATGGGAAGAAAATCTAAGGAAAAATGGAGTTCAGGAGAGCTGGCAGTTTCTCAAAGAGACAATATTAAAAGTGCAACAGCAAACTATCCCAATGTGAAGGAAAGGTAGGAATAATAATAAGAGGCCAATATGGCTCCATCAGCAGCTCTTTAATGACATAAAAACCAAAAAGGAATCTTACAAAAATTGTTAACATGGACAAATTGCTAAGGATGAGTACCAAAGATTAGGACGAACATGTCAGGACACATCAAAAAGGCCAAGACACAAAATGAGTTACACCTAGCAAGGGACATAAAAGACAATAAGAAGAGATTCTATAATACATTAGGAACAAGAGAAAGATGAAGGAAAGTGTAAATCCTCTACTTAGCAGGGAAGAAGAGCTAATAACAGTCAACATTAAGAAGGCTGAGGTGTTTAATACTTATTTTGCTTCAGTCTTCATTAAAAAGGTAAACTGTGACCAGATATTTAACACAATTAATATTAACAACAAGGGGGGAGGAGCACAAGCCATAATAGAGACGAAACAGTTAAAAGAATATTTAGATAAGCTATATGTTTTTAATTTTGCAAGGCTGGATAAAATTCACTTTAGGAACCCACTGAAGCAATATTGGAACCATTAGCAATTATCTTTGAGACCTCACGGAGGACAGATGAGGACGAGAGGAGTACAGAAGGGTAAACTTTGTACCTATCTTTAAAAGTGGGAAAAAGAGGACCTGGGAAATTATAAACCACTCAGCCTAACTTCAGTACCTGGGCAGATATTGGAACAAATTATTCAGGAATTAATCTGTAAGCATTTAGAGGATAAAAGGGTTATAAATAGCCAATATGGATTCGTCAAGAACAAAGCGTGCCAAACCAACCTAATTTCCTTCTTTGACAGGTTTACTGGCCTAGGGGATGGGGGAAGCTGCAAACATGATGTATCTTGATTTTTAGTAAGGCTTTTGATACAGTCCTACATGCTATTCTTATAAGCAAAAAAGTGATATGTGGTCTAGATGAAATTACTATAAGGTGGATGCACAATTGGTTGAAATACTGTACTCAAAGAGTAGTCATCCAGGGTTCCCTGTCAAAATGGGAAGGTGTATCTAATGGATCCCACAGGGGTCTGTCATGGTCGGGTACTATTCAATATTTTCATTAATGACTTGGGTAATGGAGTGGAGATTATGTTTATAAAACGTGTGGATGACCCCAAGCTGGGAGGGGTTGCAAGCACTTTGGAGGATAGGATTAGAATGCAAAGAGCTCTTGATAAACTGGAGAATTGGTCTGAAATGAACAAGATGAAAGTCAATAAAGACAAGTGCAAAGTACTTCATTTAGGAAGGAAAAATTAAAGTCAGAGTTACAAAATGGGGAATAACTGGCTATGTAGTAATATTGCTGAAAAGGATCTCGGGCCAATAGTCTATCATAAATGGAATTTGAGTCAACAATGTGATGCATTTGCTAAAAAGGCTTCTATCATTCTGGGGTGTCTTAACAGGACTATTGTATGTAAGAGACGTGAGGTAATTGTCCTATTCTGCTTGGCACTGGTGAGGCCTCAGCTGCAGTAGTGTGTCCAGTTCTGGATGCCACTCTTTAAGAAAGATATGGACAAACTGGAGAGTCCACAGGAGAGTAACAAAAATGATCAAAGGTATAGAAAACCCGACCTATGAGGAAAGGTTAAAAAAACTGGGCATGTTTAGTGTTGAGAAAAGAAGACTGAGGGGGAAACTGATAAATGTTCAAATACGTTAAGGGCTGTTATAAAGAGGATGGTGATCAACTTCTTCTCCACGTCCACTGAAGATAGGACAAGACTTTCTAACTATAAGGATATATTAGCACTGGAATAGGCTTCCAAATGAAGTTGTGGAATCCCCATCATTAGAGGTTTTTAAGAATAGGTTAGACCAGGGATCGGCAACCTTTGGCACGCGGCCCGCCAGGGAAAGCCCCTGGCAGGCTGGGCTGGTTTGTTTACCTGCTGCGTCCTCAAGTTCAGTTGATCACGGCTCCCACTGGCCGCGGTTCACCGCTCCAGGCCAATGGGGGCTGCGGGAAGCATCGTGGGCCAAGGAATGGGCTGGCCGGCGCTTCTCACAGTCCCCATTGGCCTGGGACGGCGAACCGCAGCCAGTGGGAGCTGCGATCGGCCAAACCTGTGGATGCTGCAGGTAAACAAACCGGCCCGGCCCGCCAGGGGCTTTCCCTGACGGGCTGCATGCCAAAGGTTGCCGATTCCGGGTTAGACAAACACCTCTCAGGGATGGTCTAGCTACACTTGTTCCTGCCTCAGTGCAGGGAGCAAGAGCAAGACAAGATGACCTCTCAAGGTCCCTTGCAGCCCTACATTTCCATGATTCTGTGATTTCATTCTGTAAGACAACCCTAATAAGTTGATGATAAGCATTGCAATACCCGCACATTCTGATTTTCTCCCACGAATGTTCCCCAGTGTAACTCAATGATGCCATCACCGAGCACTGCTCCAAGAATCCAGTGATAAAAAGACCATTGCTGGAACTTAAAATAGCTGTAAATATTTGCTCTGCTTTGGCAGCACTCAGCTGAGAAATGATGTCTTGTGTTGATGTTTGCATTTCTTGATGGTATCTCTCTGCACTTAGTTATTTTCTACAACAGCTCCACACACTAGTCTCTTTGGTTTTGTATCCTGCTGAATTGTCAATATCTGTTCCTGTTCTTTTAGTGGGCACTAAAAACATTGCTTGTTACGTACAGCAAGTGGTTCTGCAGGAGGTTTTAATCACTGTGTCTTGTTCTGGTTGTTTTATACCATAAAACTGCCTTTTTCACAAACAT